GGGAATCCAGGCCCTTTCCAGCCTATTTTTTTGGGAATCCAGGACCTTTCCAGCCTTTTTTGGGGAATCCAGGCCCTTTCCGGCCTTTTTTTTTGGAAATCCAGGCCCTTTCCAGCCTTTTTTTGGGAATTCAAGCCTTTTCCAGCCTCTTTTGTGGGCCCTTTCCAGGCCTTTTTTCCAGCCCTTTTTTTCCCAGGCCCTTTTTTTCCAGGCCAAGTCAGAGAGACAATGAGAAATGGAAAACTCAAGAGGAAAAAGGAGAAGTGAAAAGTGACAGAAAACAAAGAAAAAAAAAATAAGAGAAAGAGGAAAAAAACCCCAAAGAGAAGTGAAAAAAAATGGGGAAAAAATAGAAAAAAGAGAAGTGGAAAAAAAAAGAGAAAAAAGAGAAGTGAAAAAAAAGAGAAAAAAAAGAGAAAAAACAAGTGAAAAAGAACATGAGAAAAAATAGAAAAAAGTGAGAAAAATGAGAGAAAACAAGAAAAAAGTGACAAAAATTGAAAAGGGAAAAAAAACGAGAAAAGTGGAAAAAAGTGAAGAAAAGAGAAAAACAAGGGAAAAGTGGAAAAGTGAAAAGGGATAAAAACAAGAGAAAAGTGGGAAAAAAGCGAAGAAAAAAGGGATAAAAATGAGAGAAAAGTGGAAAAAGTGAAGAGGGATAAAAAACCAAGAAAAAACTGGAAAAATTAAAGAGAAAAGAGATAAACCCAAGAAAAAAGTGGAAAAATTCCCCCAAAACTGCCCTAAATCCCTAAGGAAAAAGCCAAACTTCAATTTTGTTTTATTCCTTTATTGCTTTGGCCACACAGAAATTCCCAAATTTTTCCAAAGGGTTGGAAAAAAATCATTTCCCCCTTGGAATTTTGGTTCATTGCAGAAGGAAATAAAACCTTGGAATGTTTGGGGGAAATTCCAAAGGGTTTGGGGGAAAAGGGAGGGAAAATGTTGGGAATTGGGGGAAAATGGGGAAAAGGCTTGGATTGAGACTTCAAACCAGTTCAACCAGTGCCAGTTTAACCAGTGCCAGTCTAACCAGTGCCAGTCTGACCCAGTGCCAGCCCAACCAGTATAACCAGTGCCATTCCAACCAGTGCCAGCCCAGTCCAACCAGTGTCAGCTCAGTCCCACCAGTGCCAGCCCAGTACAACCA